TTTCTGCTCCTATGATGCTGCTTGGCCTGCTGTGTTCATCCAGCTCTGCACCTTGTTGCCAAGGTGTCCCCTGACCTCTTCAGGAGTGCTTTGAAGAAATGTTTAAAACATTTCTGCTGACTTCCTAGGAGTCTCCTGCTGCGACTGAGGTCCAAGAAGAGCAATTGCTTTAGAAGTCAGGCATATGAGCCACATGTCCTGCTCATATGTCCAGTATATACTACACTTTGAAAGATTTACAGTGCAAAGAGGAATGCTTACTTAGCAAAGTTTTTATCCTAAAGGAAAACATTGAACTAAACTATGAAGTAAATTTTATAATCCTGATCTTGCAATGCATAAAATAAGAATTATTTCCCACCAAAACATCATAATGTATATTCATTTCGTCTTATCATTTTATGCACAATTATACAAAAGTTAAAGTAGGCATGCATATGTTGTGCAAATTTGCATTGAAATCTCATGACTTACAGTGGTATTTATTACTGAGTTTTACTTACTAACAAGTACAATTAGAATAGGGATCCCAATTATTCACGGGGGCAATGGCTAATGAATCGTCAACACTAATAAAACTGAAAATTTGTTCTGTGCAATTTTTATGTTCTAAATTAGAAGCCTTCTATTTAATCACCAACAGAAATGTGTGTAAACATATTCAAGTTTTATAATTGCCAAATATAACATTAATTCTATTTATACTTCCTTTTAAGTACCACATTTTTAACATTAATGTTAATATTCGCCAAGCAGATTTATCAGACCTATGTAAATAAATGTAGAGATCTATTATTCATTTAACATATTTTTGACAACGCAAAAATACTCAGTTTGTTGTACATACACATAGATGATTGTAAAACTTGAATTTTTTTCAACCAATTTTTTTAGGCAAAGTTAGGGGTCAACCTTTTCCTGAGAAATTTGCAAGCCTGCTACATACAGGCACAAACAATATCCTGTGCATGGATTGATCAGCAACCCCTGTCCTATTACTAAAAAATTGATGGGTGTGGCATGTTGAGATTCAGTGTGCTATAATGGATAGGTTGAGCTGTTTAGCTCTGAGAACCATGTAGCAGGGTTAGATCAGGAAATTATTTAGTTACGGCTGTGTCTCCTCAGGGATGCTGTGATTTGAGCTGTCTGCAATGATGATGCTAATGGAGTTTCAGCAACTGCATGTGAACAATCAGAGTGACACCAAGGCTTTCCTCGATAGTATCTCCTGCTGCCACCTCATATCACTGAATGAGTGAAGGAGTCCCAGAACAGGGGAGAGTGTGGGTAGTGAATGAATTTGATCTCTGAAAATCTAATATTCTCTTTTACCTGGAGAATCTGGAGACTTATGAAATTTTACGTCAAAAATTATGGTCAATATTTACAGAGAATGTATGTTTACATGGATATATGTAGTAATTAAACCTTTGAACATTGTATTTAGACAAATTCAGCAGAAATAAAATTTTCCAATGACACTAAACCATCTGCTATACTAAAATGCTTTTCTTGTCAAACTGACATTATTGTTTGAAGAAAAACAAAACTCTAAAAATTGACATTAGACCTGAGATTAGAGTTTTGCAAAGAAACCTGTTAAGCTGGATGAAGATGTCACGTTATTAGCAGTAAAATGTCTTGGCCTCACCAGACCATAGGGCTGCTCTCTTTTTAGAGAGAGAGAGAGAGAGAGAGATAAAGAGAGAAGGCTGGTGGTGGTTTAGCCTGGGGGTCACTGTGCCTCAAGTGAAGGGAGAGGTTGAAAATGAGAGCCTTTCACAGTAAACTCAGTCAGCGCGGAAACTGAACTCTGCGTCGCACACCAGTCATGGTGTGCTAACCGACCCCCGGTAGTAGAAGGTGAAACACAGAGACAATGTAGATCAAAATTGCTAAAACAAAATTAGCAATGAGAAAATGTTTTGGGCTATCAACTTAAGGTGAGCTAAAAGCACTGTTTAGTAATTAAGTGTGTTACATGAAATTGTAATGTGAAAATAAGAACTTTCAGTATCTTAAAGATAATGGGCAAAGTGAAGGAAAATCTAAAAATAAATGCATTCAATTTACTGTCATAAATGGCTGCTTCTTAGCACAAGTGAAGCTAGTTTAGATTTAAATGAACATTCGGATTGTTGTTATCAATTTATATTTAGGCTTAATATATTGACTAAGTCTTTTGGTATGATCCTGTTACAGACTGTTAGCTTCCAAAAAAGTTCTTTTTTATTCATTTACGGGATGAGAGTGTTGCTGGCTAGGCCAGCATTTATTGCCCATCCCTAATTGCCCAGAGGGCATTTATGAGTCAACCACATTGCTGTGGGTCTTGAGTCACATGTAGGCCAGACCAGGTAAAGATGGCAGTTTCCTTCCCTAAAGGACATTAGTGAACATACATCTACCCAACATATCAAACAATTTCATGCTTATTGATAAGAAACATTCCTAATGTATATATAAAAGAGAAATTAAAGCAAACACTGCAAACTTAACAGAATAGGTTATAAAGACATGCCATTAACTCAGTTCTACTTTT